TATGAATAAGTTATTGCTATTAATTTCATTGATATTCTGGCAATTTCAAAATGTCGAAAATGCTGCTATTCCAAATTTGAATTTAAACGAACTTGAAAAACGTGAAACTGAAAGTACAGTCACAGAAGTTTTAATCCTTACCACAACCATAACAGATACCCAAGAAACTGAGAGTGTGGTCACGGAAGTTTTAATCCTTACCACAACCATAACAGACACCCGTGAAGAAGCAATCGTTAACTCAACTGCAACAACTTCCACTCCAGAACAATTTACCAGAGAGACTTCCTATCCTAAACAAGTTACCACAATATCGTCCTCTCCAGAAGAATTTACCAGAGAAACTTCCTATCCTGAACAAATTACCACAATATCTTCCTCTCCAGAAGAATTTACCAGAGAAACTTCCTATCCTGAACAAATTACCACAATATCTTCCTCTCCAGAAGAATTTACCAGAGAAACTTCCTATCCTGAACAAATTACCACAATATCTTCCTCTCCAGAAGAATTTACCAGAGAAACTTCCTATCCTGAACAAATTACCACAATATCTTCCTCTCCAGAAGAATTTACCAGAGAAACTTCCTATCCTGAACAAATTACCACAATATCTTCCTCTCCAGAAGAATTTACCAGAGAAACTTCCTTTCCAGAACAAGTCACCACCTTATATTCCTCTCCAGAACAAGTTACCACATCAACTTCCTCTTCAGAACCAACCATTTCCATATCCACAGCCATACCCTATGAAGAACCAATCGCAACGGCAATCAACGTGGTCAGAGGGGTTGAAACCTTCCAAGAAACAGACATTGTCCTTAGTGACACCGGAATCCTTTCACTCGTTGACGTTGTGAATGTAGTTATCGAATCTGCTTCTATTGAGAGTGGGACTTCATTATTTTATACACAATCATTCCTGGCTGATGATGAAGCTATCAGTGTTCAATTATCGGATGTTGTGAATGAAGGATTGATTTGGTTGGATATTAGAACTGCTCCACAATTGGATGGTATCTTGTTTAAGAGAAGAGACCAAAGCTTGAAGAAGAGGGATGATGAGAATGTTGTTATGTTGACTAATCTTGAGAATAATGGAGATTTAATGATTGTGGCTGATGGAAACACGATTATTGAAATTGTGGGGTTGACTAATACTGGAAACATCCGTTCTGAAGCAACTAATGGACAAGCAATCATGAATACTAATAGTAATACTGAATCATTTGTTAATTCTGGTGTTTTATCATTCCTGAATTTCTTGTTTAATGCCAATGCCTATATTACTGGGGATGGATCGATTGTACTTGAAGACAATTCAGAATTGGTTGTTAATGGAGTAGAAATTGAATCTCAAATTTTCTTAGAAGGTGAATCTGCTAAGGTTACATTCACCAGTATTGCCAGTTTATGTAGGCTTGATTGTCGTTATATATTAAGAAATTTTGGTGTTGGGAATCAAATTGTTCTTAATTCTGAAATTGTAAGTATGTCATATTCATCAGATTATTCAGCTTGGTTGGCTGCTACAGCTGGTGGTGCTCAAGTAATACTAGATTTTGGTGAAGGGTATGATTCTGTTAATTGGGACTTTACAACCACTCCTGGAGTTCTCACCTATGTTGCTGAAACACCAGAAGAAGCAATTGCAGATGCTCCAGCTATTGTAATTGAAGTGGAGGCAATTCCTGGTGCAGAACCTGAATTATACACCACTACTTTTGTTAGTTCTGATGATGGAGCCCCAACCACAAGAAGTGCAGTTGTGTTGATAAGTACAATTGATTCAGTTTGGTTTACAAGTATTTCTTATTTCTCTGATGAAGAAGCCGAATCCACCGAAACTGTGACTTCAACCATTTCTGCTCCACCAGAAACTATAACCGTCACAAGTCCCCAAGCTACTGCAACTGTCCAAGAGACACAAACATTCACCGAGACATCGTCTTCATCAGCTGTTCCAGATGGTGGTGTTGTTGGTGTATACTTGTCTCAATCAGTTAGTACTGTTCCCACTGATGGCCTTATTGGCGTATACTTGTCTCAACCAACTGCTTCTTCTCCTACTGAAGGTCTTATTGGTGTATACTTGTCTCAGCCAACTGCTTCTTCTCCTACTGAAGGTCTTATTGGNGTTCCAGATGGTGGTGTTGTTGGTGTATACTTGTCTCAGCCAACTGCTTCTTCTCCTACTGAAGGTCTTATTGGTGTATACTTGTCTCAATCAGCCGCTTCTTCTCCCACTGAAGGTCTTATTGGTATTTATTTGTCTCAGTCAGTTGCTTCTGCTCCCACTGACGGTCTTATTGGTGTATACTTGTCTCAACCAGCGGCTTCTTCTCCCACCGATGGTCTATTTGGTGCATACTTGTCTCAATCAGTTCCTTCTATCCAAACTGAATCTATTGAAGGATTTTTTGCTGGTATTCCTGCAGTTGAAACACCCATTCAAGGTTTACAAGCTGTAAGTGTACCAATAGCTGTTATAGTTGAAGGAGCCCCCCAGGAAGTTTCAGAAGGAGACGCATTAATTGAGGAAGAAGTGTCAGCTGATACACCTGAAGAAGAAGCAGAAGTAGAAGATGAAGTAGTAGAAGTAGAAGGTGAAGTGGTAGAAGAAGAAGATTCTATTGCTCTTGAGGATAGCAATATTAGTGTTAACAGTGGGTCATTAATGACAGTTAGTGCTGGATGGTCATTCGCTTTATTTGTTTCGTTTCTTATTCTTTAGATTTTTAATTTCGTTAGTTGATTTTCGTATACCCATAAGTTTTATAATAATAATAATGATGATTTAGTTTGCTTTATTGCGTTCCTATGTTCTCCTCTCTCTCATTCTTTCTGATCTGTAAATGTTGCCAAATATAGAAGTTAGAACTTACAATACGTAAAAGATTACCCGTGTATATACAGACAACAGTAAATAACAACTCATCGATCACCCTATTCGGTATAAATAAATGTCTCATAGTTAAACGTGTCAAATCGCATAGCAACAGGTACCATTTCTTCATTGATTGTAGGAATAACAAAATAAAAAATACAACGTAACAATTAAAACAATATGACGTAACAAATTTAAGTTACAGCTAATTTACGAGGAGTTACATTTACTCAGCCTTTCTAAATTTAGTGATACACTTTGAAACTTACAGACAGACAAAACAAAAAATATTTAATTTTAATTTATTTAAATATAATTCAAGTTATTTACCCATCATTATACTTTCAAAGCAATTTTCATTTTCATTTGCTATTTTATATAACTTACAAAGGTATTAGTCTGTGTATATATATCTATTGTCACGAGACATTTATAAACCGAAATCCCAAGTATGACTATGTCTAAAATGTTCAACAATTTCCATATTAAAACAACTACAATGACCAGAAGAACTTTGGGCTTATCACCTAAATCTTTATTAGTCAAATATAGAACAAGTGATATGGTTCTATTTGTGATTATAATTGTAGTTTATGCACTCACTTATAATATGAATCCTTTCCAACGACAATTTAGTCTTAATGATTTATCAATTCAACATCCATTTGCTAAAAGAGAAAGAGTAACCAATAATGAATTATTTCTTTATTCAACTATAGTACCTTTAATCACAATCATAACTATGGGATTACCTTTCACTACTCCTCCAAAATATAGAATTTATAATACTTTAATTGGAGTCATTGGTTTATTACTTTCCGTAGGGATAACTACTATAGTAACTAATATCCTTAAGAATTATATTGGTCGTTTACGTCCAGATTTCATAGCTAGATGTGTACCAAAAGAAGGTACACCTGTGGATATTCTCGTGTTTGCAAAAGATGTATGTACAACCACCGATATTGCTAACTTATTAGATGGGTTTAGAACAACCCCCTCGGGTCATTCAAGTATGTCGTTTGCCGGATTATTTTATCTTACATTATGGATTTCAGGACAATTATATGCCAGTGATTTTATTGTCGGGAGTTGGAGAGCCGTATTGGCTTGGGTGCCTACTTTAGGTGCGGCTTTGATTGCTATTAGTAGAACTGAAGATTATAGACATCATTTTATTGATGTTACTCTTGGAAGTTTATTAGGATTGTTAATTGCTCTTTGGAGTTATTTTAGATTGTTTCCTAAATTGACTCATGATCAATGTCATTATAGTTTGAATGTTTTACAGGATATGGACGAAAAAGAAAATGAAATGCAACAAAGAGTAGCTGCTGATGCTATTTCTACTGATGATAGAAGTACTTTGGATGAAAGAACTTATAGTGCTTTACAATCGGTTTAACATGTGCCCTTTGAGATATTACTCGATGAGAACATCTGCATATCTGCAAAGATGTACCTAAGTTAGAATTGCAGTTGTAAGAAGTTGAATGTTTTATTACTAATCTAGATTGTTACTAAATTTTTATAAACTATAAACTAATAAATCTCTCACATCAATGTAGTTCTTCCACCAATTTCATTACTGGCACTACCATCTGGCATATTACCATCACGTCCACTTAAAAATTGATGATAAATCTTTGAAAGTTTTGTCTTTTCCGAAAATGAAATTGAAGGTTTTGTTTCCTTTAATGAATCCAAGAAATTCTGATGAGTAATAATAACCTTATTCTCATCCTTATCTTTTTCATCACTCTCTTGTTGCTTATCACCTTCTTCATCATCTTCATTATTCATAAATTGTTCAATCTGATGCAACAACTTCACCCTCTCACTTGATCTCAATTTCTTCTTCTTCCCATCACTACCACCATCCACTTGGAAAAATTCAATACTCTTATTATTCCCCACCTTCACACTTCCTTCACTCTGTTCCTTCTTCTCCATCTCATCCAAAGTCAAATGCACAGCCTTTAAATACGCATTATAACACAATCCTTGAATATCCGCCCCACTAAAACCCCCACACCCTTTCGCCACCTCTTCCAAATCCACCCCGGGCCCCAATTCCATCTTTCTCGTCACACACTTCAAAATATCCATCCGATCTTCATAGGTCGGCATATCACATATCACGGCTTTATCCAACCTCCCTGGTCTCAATAATGCCGAATCAATCAAATCCGGCCTCAGGGTCGCCGCTAATACATACACACCCTCGCCCAACCCTTCTGCACCATCCATTTGGGTCAACATCTGATTCACAACTCGATCAGTCACCCCCGTAGAATCATGGCCTCTCTTGGGCGCAATACTATCGAATTCATCCAAGAATAACACACATGGTCTCGCGGCTTGGGCACGTTCGAATAATTCACGAACACTGGCTTCGGACGCCCCGATGTATTTGTTTAGGATCTCGGGACCTTTCACCGCGATGAAGTTGAGTCCACATTGAGATGCTACGGCCAGAGCGAGTAAGGTTTTCCCACAGCCTGGATATCCGTATAATAAGATTCCGGACCGGAGACGGAGGGGACAGGATTTGAAAATGGGGGCATATTTGGTTGGCCATTCAAGTGTTTCGAGGAGAAGGGTTTTGGCGTCGCTGAGTCCCCCGATGTCGGACCAGGATGTAGTAGTGGATGATTTTTGGAGATTGACTCCGCGGAGATTGGCGGGGGTGTAGCCGGCGAGGGCTTTGTCGATGTGGGATTGGGTGATGGCCGGGGCGGGTTGGGAAAAGAGGTATTCATGGTAGATTCTATCCGAGAGGGTTTTGAGGTCGTTGGGGAGATATCCTTCTGTTTCGGCGACTAAGTCCATGATGTCGATGTCTAGATGGGGACATCTGGCGGTGATGTAGTTGGTGAGGATATCATGACGCATGGGTTTGTTGGGTGGGGATAAGTGGATGTAGTTTTCTAAGACATGAGATCCACTTAATAGTTTGTTTAGGGATTCTTTTGAAGTAGCTGAGATTAAGATTGAAAGATTTGAATTTTGTTGATTATGAATCTTGGCAAGGGAACTGATTAAGAATTCGGTTAATTGATTTGATTTTGAATTGTCGACATTATCTAATTCACATGGAAGGATTTTATCTAAATTATCCAAAACTATGACAGCTGGTTTATGCCAATTACTAGTTTGAATCCATTTTTGAAATTTATTAACTAATGAATTATAATTTTCATTCATGATACTTTCACAACTGATGAATTTGGTGAATATTCCTAATGAGACCAATTGTTTACTTACCAATTGAAGTAAAAGAGTTTTCCCACTTCCGGAATTCCCATAGATTAAACTACCTGTATTTGGAGAATCAACAAATGATTCCACAATATCTTCAATCATAGCATCCAATCCAATAGCTTCATCTTCTTGAGTATTATCTGGTCTAGTTTGAATAAAAGACTGGGCACGTAATAATTCTTCGCCAATTTCAATCCTGATTGGTTTCTTTGAATCTAAAGAATATGGTTTTATCCAAGAATTTGGATCATCATTCTTACGAAACTTTAATAAACCACCATTTGGTAATATATTTGGAATTATTGGGATTTTGGTATAATTAGTCATACAAGATTTTGAAATCCCAGGATATAATTTTTCAGTAATTTGTTGAATCAATTTATTATTATCCGCCGATTGTTGTTTATTATTAAGATTAATTTGTTGATCTTTTCTCTTGGATTGAGTAATATATGGATGAATGGTGAAAGTAGTTGGTCTTCTAGGTAAATTTTTAATTGCTGGTTTTAAGACAATAATATTCCCAACTTGATTTTCAATATGAAGAGCAATAGCCAAAGATTGTGAAACACCAATATTATCAGCAATACCATCCTTAAAATCAAGTAATTTGGCAATTATACGTTTATTCTCTTTTAAATCGGTATTAGCTTCGTCGATGTTGTTACCACTTCCATTTGGTTTATCATTTGGACCAGGGATCACCGATACTGCAACATAATCAGAAATCACATCTTGAGGTAATTCATTGAAATTTGCATATACTATATATCCTTCATTCAATTTAATATTATCATATAACTTATGAGGTAAAGAAATACCTCTTTTCAAAACCGAAGGTAAATCACCATAGTCTTCCTTGGTAGTTTTAGTCTTGTTGCTAACTGAACCTTTACTTGAAGGTGGCCCCCCAGCAGTAGTACTTTTCTTTTCTTGTCTAACTTTCGGAGCAATGGCAATTTCAGCATATGGACTAATCTTAGCATATTTCTTGTCATCACTCCCAATATCAGTCACAATTAATTTAGCATGAGTAGATTGATTAGGATAAACAATCAATATTTGACCAATAGCAACACATCTAGTTTGAGATAATAATTTATCTTCAATATGTTGAGCATGTAATTCAACAACTTCCCAATCTGAACTTGAAACTGGTTCTAAATTAATATTTGTCGCTTCATGGTTATTAATTTTGAGATTGATAATAATTGAATCATTTTCAACAAGACCTAAGGAAGTAGCAAAGATTGGATCTATTTCTATGGATGAAGGATCTGAGGATGACATACCTGACCAACCAGCGTAATAGCTTTGTTTTGACTTAGCTCTAGTACTAGTAGATACTAATTCAATGATTACATCTTGTATTTGAATATTGGCAGTAAATAATAAATTTGATAAATGAGATGGTAAATTAATTAAATTTGATTTTAATGTTTTTAATTTGATAGTTGATTTATGATTGTCCATTGTGCTATCTGTTCTATGCTGTTGTATATATGTCTATAAGGGTTACCTGGTATTAATCAGGAGTAATAAAGTTCAAGTAAAAGAAAGAAATGGGAAGTATGAAAAATTGAACAAAAAGTTTCTGGGGAAATCAAATTTATAAAATAAAGAGACAAAAGAAATTGTGGTGAAAATCAACGAAAAATTAATTTTTAATTTTTTGTGTGGAGCAAACAATTTATGCCGAGGATAAACTAATTAATAAAATAATAATTTAATTATGATATTGGGAGCCTTACAAATTCAATATTACTTAAGACACGATATCAGTCTGATCTCATTTCTGTTGAGTCTATGAATAGAGATAGACTGGATAGTAAGAGATTAATGGTAAGCTTTAAAGGCATAGCATGTATCGAAGAACTGGTGACTAACCATATCCTCGTCCAATATATTCTCGGAACTTTTCTCTCTCTGAATAACTCCGGTGGAAAAACACAATAGAAGACAATACAAACCCCAGATAATTACTATTATTATTACTATTTGTATTGTTATTTTCTATATACAAGACTTGTTATAACCTTTCTCTCTCTTATTACCTTCTAGAATTAAATTGTTGAAATTTTTCAAAATCTTCATCTTTATCTTCTTGTTGCATTTCATCCCATTTAGCTCTATTCTTAGCTTCTCTTAATTGTTTAGCCTTTTCAATTGCCATATATGATCTTCTTCTAACTGATCTACATTGTTCAAACCCTAATACATTCCCTAAAAAGAATCCACCTACTGCCCAATTCATACTCTGACTAATATTCTTTCGAATAAAGAATGTAACAATCCCTAATACACTCATAGCTTGAAAACCAGTAATCATTCCTTCTCTAAAACATGGCATACCTGTAAATCTTTCAATAGTAAAATCAGATAGTTTTATATCTTTAAGTACATCAATTATTGTCGGTTGTTGTTTAATGGGTCTATGCTGGGGTGGAACATCATCTTGGAATTTAGGTGGAAGATCTTCAAGAAATTGTTGTTGTTGTTGTTGTTGTTGTTGAGCTTCAGTATATTCCGATACTACAGATACTTTTGCAGGTGATGAACTGCTTCCTCCAAACCATCCCATTGTAATATATATGTTAATGCTTTATATCTTTAGCTTCTTTCCAATGAACTAATGGCGGCTAGATATAATCATTTAAATTAAAAGTAATAAAAATGAATTTATAATTTGTTAGTCGTGTACTTTTGTTACAATTGTAAAACGAAATTGAATTCTGTTACTCTTACAGTATAGAGAGAGAGAGAGATGGGGACTGCCACACTGTATACATATTTTTATTAAGAAAGTTGTAAATACCCATTATGGTATCAGTGTTGACAATCCACACTTAATGAAGATATATAATACAAGCTTAAATTATATTTAACGTATCTAAATAGGGATTTTCATGTAACAAGTACCTGTACCCTTATGAGTATTGGTAGCGCGACCACTTTAAATTTTATTTTTTTGATTTTTCTTTCTTTCTTTACATTTTCATCTCTCTTTCCTTTGATTGATCCTTCAACCCTTAACAATTCAATCACTCAATTTGCAATGGCAGTTACTCCAGATCTCTTATTAGATCCTCAATTGAAATATTGGGTATTATTACCCATCTCATTAACTATGGTCTTAGTAGGACTCTTACGATCAAACATAACCACTTTGTTCATCACCCCCAAACCAAAACTTCCTGCCTATAAAATATCACGACAACAACAATTTCTTCAACAAGTAACCTCCTTCAAATCCAATAACAATAAAGTCCTCACTCCGGAAGAATTCTCACAAAGGAAACAATATTATTTATCCCAATTATCCGACACCCATTTCCAAAACATCGACCCATCCCAATCATCATCAGAACAACAACAACCATCATTATCCCAATTATTCGACCCAAACCAGAATGAAGCCATGATGAATATGGCAAAAGGGAATCTCCTCAATTATATCCCCCAAACCATAATCATGGCCTGGGTGAATTATTTCTTTGCCGGATTCATAATCATGAAACTCCCTTTCGGGATCACCGATGGATTTAAACCAATGTTACAATCAGGTGGAGCTCCACCTGATTTAAGTGTGAGATATGTTTCGTCAATCCTGTGGTATTTTGTCAATTTGATGGGGTTGAAGCCGATTTATTCGTTGATTATGGGAAGAGGTGAAGCTGATGAATTGATGATGCAACAGACTCAACAACAACAACAGCAGGCTCCAGTGATGGGTGGTGGACCGGGACAGCCGCTGGCTGATAAGGTTTTCAAGAAGGAGTTTGAGAATGTTCAGATTTTGGAACAGACGGAGTCGATATATGTTGGTATTGTTGATCGAGTTTTGAAGCAGTATGAATAGTAATGTATATTATTGTGTAGATTAAGTGAATAAATATGCTTACGCCTACTCGCCAGAATCGGGTTGAGAATAAATTCTTGAATAATAGCTAAATTCTAATAATCCCTATGACTTGGTTGTAGTGTTCGTTTTCCACTAAGAAGCTCTCTGGCAAAATCTGGTTAGTAGGACGAATTAAATTATAATGTATGATTTTTTAAGTCAGCCAATGTCTAGAAATTGAAGATACAGCGAACACTAACACTTAAAAACCCCATATCACTCTGAAGTTTCATGAATTCCATTATCTATTAAAATGGAAATTTGCAGATTCACTGTTGGAATGTAAGATGTGCTACCATATAACAAGAAGATCGTCGTGTATGTTTGCCCAATTTGCGGATCATCTCAACCTCTTCTAAAAAAATATGAAGACATGGAAATATTTACAAATCACTTCCACTATGTTCAACGATCCAATACAAACCTATATACAATGTCACAAGAACAACAACCGTCAGAATCACAACCAACCACCACAACCCAACCACCGCCAACCATCATCTGTATCGGGATGGCCGGGTCCGGTAAAACCACCTTCATGCAAAGACTCAATTCCCATCTCCATCAACAAGTCACCGACAACAAAACTACCAAACCACCATATGTAATCAACCTCGACCCCGCGGTCTTAAAGATCCCATTCGGAGCCAACATCGATATTCGTGACTCCGTGAAATATAAAAAAGTCATGCAGGAATACAATCTCGGTCCTAATGGTGCCATTGTCACTTCCCTTAATCTATTCTCGACTAAGATCGATCAAGTCATTTCATTGGTTGAAAAACGTTCCCCCAAGATCCTGAATGTGATCATCGACACTCCGGGGCAGATTGAATGTTTTATTTGGAGTGCTAGTGGTGCAATCATAACTGAGGCATTTGCATCCAGTTTCCCGACCGTGATTGCATATATTGTCGATACTCCGAGAAATGTATCTCCGGTGACGTTTATGTCGAATATGTTATATGCTTGTTCCATCTTGTATAAGACGAAATTACCCATGATTGTGGTGTTTAATAAGACCGATGTCCAGGATGATGGATTTATTAAGGATTGGATGGCGGATTTTGAGAGTTTTCAAGAGGCGTTGAGGAAGGATGGCGATGAAGAAGGGTCGGGATATATGAATTCATTGGTGAATTCGATGTCATTGATGTTGGAAGAGTTTTATTCGACGTTGGATGTGGTTGGGGTGAGTTCGATTACTGGGAATGGGTTTGATGAGTTTATGAAGGCGGTGGATAATAAAGTGGAGGAATATAATGAATATTATAAGGCGGAAAGAGAAAGGATCTTGTTACAGAAGCAGAAGGATGAAGAAAAGAGACAAAAGAAGTCATTGAGTAATCTTATGAAAGATATGAAGATAGGCAATGATAGTGAAGTTTTGAGTGATTATGATGAAGATACTGATAATGATGATGTGCATGGAGAAGTCTTGAGAGATGAAGATGAACCGGAAAGAGAATATACATTCCCAGAAGATAGAAATTCAGAACTTGGACATACTGATGCTGATTTACAATCAAGGTATCAAGCTGCTTTTGAATCGACTGCAAAGACCGCGTCTTCCAAGACTGCAGAAAATATCGCTAATTATATCAAGCGTCAATAGAATTAGTTTATAGATGAATGTAAGGTACTACCTTTGTGAAACGCTTCTAATTAAACCAGTAACTTTGGTCCGATTGTATCTTTTCACATATTCCTCTCTTCTATTTGAACGCGATAATCAGCATACAAATGAATTTGATTGCTAACTTTCTAGTTCAGTTAAAAGGTGAAGCACCTAGTGTAGCCTAGCCGACGGTGTATGTGAAATATTACAATTAATGCATTCCAGACTAATGATATCAAACCATTCAAATCTATATATCTATACACGCGCCCTACTTCTTCTTAAACAAATCATCTATAACATATGCCAGCTTGGCAAACTCCTCCTTAAATATTAAATGCGGTTTATGTTTCGCCAAATATAAAATGGTCTTCCCGAATTCCGAATTACACCAAGCAAACCAACTTCTCGTAAAATCTCTCCCACCCCTTGAATTCACATGGACACTCTCATGCATTAATCCCAATCCTCCAGTTGTTTCCATCAACAATTTCAAACTGGCCCTGATTTCATTATCATCTTCCGAAGTTCTAATCCTGACTAATAATGACATGGGCCAAGCATGCAGGATTCCAATATGGGGTCCACCGATGCCTTCGAAATATATACCTTGGAGATAGTATGGATTTCCTTGTTTTTCAAGAATCATCTTTCGAGTATTCTGATAGATTTTGTCATTGGTTGACACAAACCCCGTTTCAGGCATTGAGAGTAAGGATGGGATATTGGCATCATCCATGAATATCGCACCTCCATATCCGTCAACTTCATACGCAAATACTTGTCCATAATGAGGATGTTTCACAATGGCATATTTTTCAATTCCTTCCGATATCGATTGGATAAATTCATCGGTTTTTTCAATTGCCAACAGAAGATCAAGTTCGGGTGGGAGGTTTGAATTTAGGAAATTATGTCGGATTTTTTTAAGTTCGGTTAACATATGAATATTCCCCGGTATGAAGAATTGTAAAATCGTAGCATCATCCAGAGGACGAAACATACTTCGAATGAGCCCGGTGCCGAAATTGACAGGATTACCCAATCCTGCTAATGCCAAGGTTTCGGATCCGATATTGGTCTCTCGTTGGAACGTATAATGGAATGGCATTACTTTTCCTGTGAGTTCGTCAAATGTGGGTACTGATTCTCGAACTAGAACAATCAAGACTTTTTCATAAGCTTTTAACCAAGTATCGGTTAAAAACAGTAAATCTCCCCCGGAGTTTTCATAATATTCGTTGGTGAGGGTAAGGAATGACGCAAGGGAATCAATCTCATACTTACATTCAAACACATATTTCCAATCTGGTTTAGGAAACACTTTATCTTTTGTCGATCCGGCTTTTTTCACGCCTGAATCAGGGGGAGGATGGAATGCGTTACAATATGGTGCGGTGATGACATATTTCGCTTGGGTGTTGATTGCACCCAATATTAATTCTTTTAGTTTCGGGTCATGTTTGATTAAAGGTTGATAAACTGATAATTGTCTAGCTGCATCACGTAACCATTCGGCATGGATGTCTCCTGTAACCACAAATGATTCTGGTGGAGAATCGTCTTGTTGATGTTTATGCCATAATATTGTAGTATCCAAAGTGTTTGGCAAGCAATTTTCAATCAATCTTGCCAAATCACGGTTTATCGCTTTTTCTTTTAAGTCATTAATTAATATTTCTACTGCATCACTAGTGAATGTTCTACATTTTGGTGCTGGTCTCATATAGGGATAATTGAATCTTGGCGAGAATGGTGGATGTTTCTTGCCAGAATATTTAACATAATCTGGACATTTGGTAATTTCTCGATCCATTTCGTCCAAGAATTGTTGATCTATTTCTTGATGATTTAAGTCTGCATCATTATCATATTGTTGTTCATCCTGTTCATGATGGAAAAATGCTTTGAATTCATCAACCATTGATTGATCGACATTATTGTATTTGAATGTGGATATAATTGAATAGATTGAAGTGATAGCTAGTATTCCAATGAATATCTTAATTAGCTTCGTCAAATTACCTTGAGTGAGCATCATTTGGATAGGACGATGAGCCTTATCTTTCATGGAGTAAATGGTTCTGGGATTTCTAGGTTTGTTCTAAATATCAAAAAAAAAAATGTATGGAGAAACAAAGAGTGTGGCAACTGATTGCTGATTGACAATATAAACGGCTGTCGATTTAATAACCGATAGATAGTGAGTATTAGTAGGTCGTGTATCACTTATCAACAGTATTATTGAAGGAATCAGAACTCTATAAGCGACACTAAGCTTGGGTAGGTTAAAATTAAGGTAAACCACGGTACTTGTCACGTGATCTTGAAGTTAGAAGAATTACAAAACGGTCCTTTGAACTTAATGGGAATATCCTTTGAAGTTTAGATAAGTGTTTATCTGATGGTTGAGGTTATAATGATACCAAGTACTCTCAAACGATGTAAAAAATGAGAGAATCCGTCTGCTTTAAATAAATTGGGGGGGGGATTTAAAACAATAGAGTTCAAGTTAACACACAAAGTTACAGACAATAGGCAAGCAATCTACAACTTAAAAATAACAATGGGGATTTGTATATGAAGATAATATTATTCCTCCTCTGAGACGAAATCAATTGTGCAGAATTGTAATTTAATCTTATTTATCTGAATTTGATAATAAACTGGGTTTAGAGGTAGCTGGCAAAGAGCGTAGTATATACTGGACAACTCATTGAAATTGATACAATCAATGAAAAATTCAGAGAATATCTTAATCGTCGTATCTATAGCACATCTATTTACATATAGGTTAAGACTACTAAATGCATAGTCTAAATTGACAAGAAGATACGATACTGTAAGATACAGCCTTAAGATCTTTATAACATTAAATAGCATTTGTCACAACCACAAGACAAATGTCTCATTCGTTACGTTGATAGTCATGTGACCACAGATATATTCGAACAATTACAAATGTTTGTGTTAAACCTATATCCATAACCGCGTCTTTAACATAATCAGAGTCCCAAAGACGTTGCTGTAAGTTTATTCGTGGTATACTATATGTTTATGCGAGAAGGCTTGAATTGTATATCAAACATGCCACTGCCACCATTGTGACTGGTCCAACCCTGACCCAGATATTCGGGATCGGCCCTTTCTTCTACGTGGAAAACAATGTATGCACATGTTCTATTATTCTATACGAGTGTTTCTCTGTTCTACGATAAAAGGTATATACATCTCGGACCATTAGACACATTCACTAATCCCTTTTTACCCAACAAAGTTAATAAATCTCCAAGACAATTATTTCTCGTTATTTCCCGACGTTGTCTTTCAAATTCTAATTTTTCCGTATATCCCAACCTCGAACCACTCTGGGACGTTAAACTTCTATTATAGTCATCTAACAATCTTCTCATTGCCAAATGGGTGGATAGTCTTGCTGCGATTATTTTATAGGGTGACTCTTCCAATAATTCAACTAACGCCCGATGATTATCTTTGGCACTGGGTCGGTTGATGGTTAAGATGCTGAATGTATTATATTCGATATCGTATGGCATGGTGGATAAATATGTCTCAGTCGCATGGCTTCGTTCGAATGAATTCTTTATGTAGTTGGAAATAGTGGCAAGAAGGTCTTTATCATCCGGTTGAACAATCGTTTCATTCCTTTTGTCGATGACCTTCACCTGATAAGCTAATGATAATTGTTGAACCAATTTATCATTATCATTTTCGATTTGTTTCCAATTGAAATTCTGGGTTTCTCGAATGAATTCACGATGATTATTCATGGAAAAATATTGTTTCGATTTAATTGCTTTATTTAATAAATCAATATTGGTTATCGTACTCAAAGAATAATTCCATGCTATTCCGTTGTTAAGTGCTTTAACTTTTTCACTAAATTCCATAAACTCTCCATCAAAACAATCTAAATTTTTCCCATCAAATAATCGGTTCGTATTTTGTAATATAATACTTATTGGTTTATCTACTTGTTTTAGCCGTCTCCAAAACCACAGTATATTGGATGGATGAATATTCACCTCCGTAGATGGAGAAAAATAATGTTCAATACTCTTTTTCACATCTGATATATATGCATTACGTTGGACATGCGGCTGTTGAGGGTTGGAATACACAATAACCCGACCAAAATCAACTTCTTCTTTGAATAATTCATCCGGCATACTAGATTCCCAAGGACCGAAATCAACTGGTTGGGAAAGATATTGTGACATTTGTTGTTCATCAGTTATGTTTTTGGGTTTTTGGAGAATACGATAAGCAAAATTGGTAGCCATTTGTCGATCACTGGTTTCACGTAGTGTTCGATCTATCTGGCGGCTTGTGAGTTGATTCCGATGGAGGGATATGACTTTGTATATGTCTATTAGTTTCTTTATACTAAATGGGACTTTATTACTAACAGTCATGGCTATGGTTTATCTTTGATCCTCCAACGAACTTTGAATCCCATAATAAGGTACATGTAAATATTTAAATAGGTCCCTGAGAAATAGAAAAAAAAAATTAAACTACGAATCTTGGAAAATCTCATCTCAATCTTTCTTTCTTCCTTTCCAAGACAAACACACAACAAACATTAACAATGCTTACAAGAGTCAGCCGTTCCTCCCTTCTTCTCAAGAGACTCCCCACCATCATCCCAAAAGCATCATCAACCAGAATCCCACACTCATTATTCACCGATCACCCCAACCACCATCCATCATTCTATTTCATCCCAGTACGATCTCTCACCACCACCCCCACAAATCTCCCCCAAACCACAACTCAAATCACATCCAATGACCCAAATGAGCCGCAAGTCTCAGGCGAATACATGATTCAATTCACTTGTAAACCATGCAATACTCGTTCAACCCATGCATTCTCAAAACAAGCATATCAATATGGGACAGTATTGATCCAATGTCCAAATTGTAAAAGTAGACATCTTATAGCTGACAATTTGGGTTTTATTAAAGATGAGGTATTTAATTTAGAAGAAGTGTTAGCGTCGAAGGGAGAGAGTGTCAAGAGTAAAAGAAGTGATTTGGAAGAGGGGGATGTTCCGGAGGGACTTAAGGGCAAGTTGGAGAATGTTGTTAGTGGATTTAGAATTCAAAATGGGGATGAAGTGTTTGAGATCCCTGCGGATGTTAAGAAGGATAAGAAGTAGTAATAGTAGAAGTATATTTGTGTAGTTGGCGTAGTTCGTATATAGATGTTTAATGTGAAATGATAAACCCCCCGGGAACAGTCGATAAAAGCCGAGAACTCTCTAGAAGGTGAAAAAAAAATTTTGATTCCAATTCTCTAAATGGTTCTTCCTTATCCATAGTCAACACAACATGTTGTCAAGAAGTTTAATTAGATCAGTAAGATCGCTTCCCAAACCATCTGTATCCCTTCTTGCAATCAGAAACAACTCACAAGATGTTCTTGCAAGATATAAATCCAAACTCGAAACCAAAGCGAAACAACTCGGTGCCAAAGATGTCGATGAATTAAAACAAAAACTAAAAGATGAAATCGAACAAGCCAAAAAGGAATTCAACACCGTCGATCCCTTAAAAGAACTCGAAGAATATGAAGCAAGACAAGCTGAAGAACTTGCCAAAGATCTTCAAAAATCCACGATTATAAAAGTAAGATCCCCAATCAAGAAAGATACTCCAAAACTTCCATATAAAATCTTGAATGATTTCATTGATGTAGAAAAGATCAGGGAATTACCAAAACGAGAAGTGGAATATATTTGGAAAGCCAGATTTCAATCCAAAGAACGTTCATTGAATGCCATTATTGATAATGTCCAATTTTCAAAAATGTATGTTAACGCATTTAAAAATCCAAGTTTTATATTACCATTACCTAAGAATGATCAAGGTTATGAAATGCATTTCGTACAATGGGCATTTGTAGGTCCTCAGACTGTGCATTGTATGTTGACCACGGTGGCGGAATATAAATTACACAAGGAATACGCGAAACCACATACCACATTAATGTTTCACCAAGATTTGGTGAGTGAAAAGCCTGGGGTGGTTTTGATGAATGGGGTATGTGAGACTGAGAGTTCGTTGAGTATCGATGAGGCACAGTTGTTGGTGTTGAATGTGCAGAGGTTTTATGGAGGATTGGGGAATTCAGAAGTGAAATTGAAGTTATTGAATGATTTTACTCAGGGACATGAAGGATTCAGTACTGAGGAACTTATTAAAGAAGCAACTACATTTGAATAGATAAATCTGTATATAGTTTTTTAAATTGATAGAGTGTATTTACGTTGTTTACCTACGACGTCCTCTTGCTCTTGTGGAAGATCCGCCTCGTCTAGTTGTCGTTTTCTTGGGCTGTTCTTCCTGGTATTCATCTTCACTTGAAAGCATATATGCATCCACGTCATCTTCACCGGCGTAGCTCTTTTTGGCTGCTGCTGCACCTCTACGAGGAGTACTTCTCCTTGGACTAGATTCAAGTATTTCATTATCCGATGTATCTGAAAGAATTATATCCTTATTCTTGGCTGGTTTTCGTTTGGTTGCTTTCTTGGCTGGTTGCGGCTCCATGTCATCCACTTCGGGTAATACTATATCAGTTTGTTTAATTTGTTGTAATATTTGTTTAAACGCGTTCCTGGTATGATTTTCATCATTTCCATGGAACTCATCCTCATCAATATCTATAGTCAATAACATCTTTGTTTCATTCTTGATTTCCTTTTCGATATATTGATTTAAACTGTTTTTATCATCATTATCAATAAACTTTTTGACAGCTTCATGTAGACCAGTTTCTGGAAGTAATGCTAATTGAGTTTGACCCATGAAATCATTAATTATATCCTGTAGTTGAAGTTCAGTGGTTTTAGTATTAGAAATACTTTCATTGATAAGATCTTTATCGAATTTAACTTTTTTACCAATATTAATTGCTGGTTTTTCTCGTTTTTTATAAAATTGAATAACATCATTGGCATTGGCAATTTTACCAACAAATCGATTTGAAAATCTACGAACATTTTCAATTTCAAATCCTCCACTATATTCCACTTTTAATCTGATTAATGGTAATGGAATATTGTTCTTGTTGTTTGCCTCGGTTTCCTCTTCATCATCTTCTTCGTCAAACATATCTGGATTGTTTTCTTTATAAGTTTGATTGGCAATTTGGATTGCCTTTTCAACTTCTTCAGTTAAATAAGCAATTACATCAGATTTTGATGCAGCTCCTGGGATTAAATTAGTTCTCAGCAATTCAATTGATCTTAATACAAATGGTCGTACTGTTTTTAATTTAATTGGTTCAATTGAATAATCTTTCCCTAATATATTAATTATAAATACTTTCTTTTCCGGTATTTCTCCCTCTGATAATGAAGTTGCTATAGAAGAACCAGCTTGTAATACATCAAATCCAGTTTCTGGATTATGAACTGGATAAGGAATACATTCATGTTCATGACCCCATACAATAAAATCCAAAAACTTAGGTAAGAAATTTTCAGGAATACTTGAAGTTAATGAATGAGCAGCATGATTTTGATGAATTGTAAATAAATTAAACCATTCATCTAATTGAATTTTGGGTCTTTGAAATTTAATTATCCCATCTCTAAATGCTCGATGTAATCTTTCATCTCTTAAATTATCTAAACCATATAATGATAATTTAGTTAAACCCTTTTGAAATAATATTGGTGATATTGTTATATTTTCAGTATCTTTTATTTTACCAAAATGATTAACTAAACCACTTACTGCTAATACATCCATTGCCAGTAATAAACCTTCACCAGTTGAATCATCATGATTACCACTAATTGCAAATATTGGAATTGATATATTAAGATTTGGATCTTCATAATTAACATTATTAAATCCTCCATTATTTAAACATTGACCAGGATCACTTAATAATTCTAATTCACAAGGTTTATCACCAAAACAATTTAATCTAATTGATTTCATAACATGATACATTGATTTTTTAGTTGGTTTATTAATATGAAATAAATCACCTCCTTGTAATATCATATCAACATCTTGTTCTTTTGCTATTTTAGTTATTTCATGGAATGTTTTCCAACCATCATCACCTCTAATTGGATCATTTTCATATGCTCCAACATGATTATCAGTTGTAAAAAGAATTCGTATTGTATCTGGTCCAATTGGTAATGATTCAACTAATGGCATTGCCCCTCTACTTTGCTTTGTTTTACTTTATTCGCACTTCTCCTTTTGAGGTTTTGATTCGCTTTTCTTGGATCAAACAATAATATTTACCATTGAATTATTTTTTTCTTGTGAGAGTTCTCGCTTGATCTCCCTTTGGTTGGGTTATCCCATCTGGTAAATTCTTATTGGTATTAAACTTCATCGTATCATTTAAATTTTATGGAATTGGAGTTAAGTACAGATACTTACCATTGTTCATATGTGTTAGAATGAATAATGTTCTGAGAATGGAACAATGGAGAATAAGCTCCACTTTTCTGTGTATTCATGGTTCAGGATTCCCATATTTAAGGATTTCATTTCCTCAGAATTTAGTTTATTCAGATTATATAGAGAATGATCAATAAATTAGAATTAGAACGATTTAATGACGGGGATATTTTCGTAAGTCTCATGTGAAGCCATTGGATTGGTGGAAACACAAGTCGTGAATCAAGTACTTCGACTTAATTGACATTTACACTCATTTTACCCATATCAGTACCATTGAAACTTACCACTGAATAAGAAAAGATTAAGTAAAGTACTTTTTTATACGTTTTTAAATAGTTTGTAGATTTTCCCCAATGTTACAAGAAGAAAAAAATCAAAGTAGTACGTAGTTTAACATGGACCTATTATTTCAAAAAAAAAGTGAAGGTAGACAGATCCTGCCAATATACTTATTT